TTAATCCTATTTTGTATGCTCGTTATGGGATTCTGTTTCTAAGCATTCATCAGAAACTCTTTCAAGATAGACTTAAATTGTCATCATAAACTTTTGTTTAGCTTGCACAGCTATGACTGGTGGTGGTAATGAGGTTTTTTAGAGAAAGAACAAGAAGGAAACACCTGTAAACTGAGCCTATTTAAATAAGTAGATCATTTTATGTCTTCATGGTTTGTTTCTGTTAGTGAGGCAACCCAAAGGAGCAGGCTTTCTGGAGCCTGATGCATATATGCATCTGTCTTGTAAATGCTTTTTATTCTCTATGCTTTTTAAAGGTACTTTTTAAAAGAGCATAAAAGAGATCTATGACTTAAAGAGTAGAGTTCAGTTTGGTACTTTAACATAGAGGGCTTATGTCTCACTTGTTAGTGGAGAGCCATTGGCACAGTCAGTGGAAGCCAGCATGGGATTCATCTGAGCAGCCATGAGATGTGGGTTGCACCAGGGTGGCCTGCATGCTCTTTGTGCTCTATTCACTATGGATTTTTTCTCCCAGATGGATCCCACCCAGGATCTATGGGGAAGAAATAAGGTCTTCTAGGTCTGCTTTATATTTTCCAGTAGGAAGATTCAATGACCAATCTCTATAGGCCATTAAACACAATATTTTCACCTGTTCAGCAGGTTAAAATATTCTACATTGTTCCTGTCAATGTAGAATCTCTTTCCAACAGTCTTGCCTGTGGTATTGGGGAACGTGGGTCCTACTGTGCTCTGGGCTCATTGACAGCATGGCCTGCAAGTCTGACCTTGGTGCTGCTTTTGCAGACAGTTAGTGAAGAAACATGTGCATCGTTGTGATGCCAATGAAATCCTACCCTTGCTTCCATGAGTGGGTTTTCAAATCACTATTGTGCTCTGAATGCTTCTTTTTGAATAGCAGGCTCCCTGTTACCCAGCCCTCCACTTTGCATTTAAGACAGCAAGTAAATCTGACAATTCATGTGCAGTGAAGGGTTCCCAGCTTGCACTGTGTTCATTGCACCAAGTGATTTTGCTGTCCCTTCTGAAACTCTGGACATGGATAGCATGGTCAGGCAGCTGGAGATCTTCTTGGCTCTCTGGAAGAAGGGGGGCTGGGGCTTTATCTCTGAGAGTTACCTATCTCATCATCTGTGGTGCTGTTCTTAAGAGCTCATGTTTACTGTTCTTGAAAGCTTGTATTTCAGCAGCACAAACATTACTATTAGTTCTCAACTGGGTTGTAGTGAAGTGTGTGTGTGAGCTGCTCCATAAAGTGCAGTGGTCTCCCTCCAAGAGTGTGTCTTTTTACAGACTAACAGCAGCTGTGGCTATCCCAGGACTATATGCAAATTGGGTTTTTTCCCTGTTTTTTCCTAGAAGACAGATTGAGGGCATGTCTCTAGTATTTCCTCAGACTATGGGCTAGTGCTTTGACTTCCTGTCTACCTAGTGGTACCACATGTTTCAGGACTGCTGCTTCTCATCTACTGCTAATGCCCAGCTCCCTATTAATTGCCATTATAAGAGATATGTATGAGGATTCTTTTCTCTTAAAGTGCTTCTCACTTCCAAAAGGATGGCTCATCCATTTTAACTGTTGGGCCTGCTACTGTATGTAAACATATTTTTCTCTTGGCAACCACAGTGAAAATCTTTAAAAAATAAAATTAAAAACCCATCTCTCAACAACTTTCTAGAGAGCTTTTTGGATAATTAGTTAGCTGAGAAAGGACATTTCGATGTGATACCAATGGATAAAGATAGGGGAAACAAGCTGAGAACTGAGCAACCAGTGTCCAATCACTGACAAAGGTCACAGTGACCTTCTCTGAAACGAGAAGACGGGGGAGAAAATCGCTTGCCAGAAAATGTAGTTATCTTAAGTAGAAAAGTTAGAAAAATGCAAACATAGAAGCAAAATAATTGTTAGAAGATAGAAGTAGGTGTGGTTGATCTAAGTGTGCTTTAACCAATAATGAGCTCAGCTTTTGCAATATGTATAAGCTTCATTAACACCAATATAAATATGTGTGGGGTTTCAATAAACTTTGGGATTTGCTATTCACGCATATTGTGTGTCGCATTTCTCCCGCCGTTCACGACACAACTTCTTTGTTATTAATGGCTTGGTGGCCCTGTGAGGTGCTGGGGACCCAGGAGTCACAGCAGGAACAATGGCAGGGATGGCATTCCTCATTTCTTCCCGTAGCATAGCTGGGAGAGCACTCACACAGTTTGAAGGAGATGCCATTCATTCTCCTGCACTAGGAGGATTTCAGCCTGCATCCCAGCAGAGGGCACCAGTACCTGCAGGGATGAGGAAGCATCTCAGACTCCTACTGGCAGTCTTGTGCTCGGTGCAAAGAATGAGGCATTCGATGCAGCAGGAATTCTTCTCATCACAGGATGAGACTTGCAGCAAGAAGGATTTGGGGTAGGATTTGAAGATGGAAATCTGATGTTTGGGTTAGCGTTAGTGCTGAGTTATAAAAAAAATCACAAATGGATCATCAAGGTAGAAGAAAGGTGAAAGGCCACTTGTCTAGACATACCTGACTCTCCCACTGTCTGCTTGCTTCTGATTTAAAATAAACAAGCCAAAAACCCCAAAAAACCCTAAACCCCACAAAACTCAACCAACCAGCCCCCTACCTAAAAAAGAAAGAACTCCACCCCACATTACACATCCCCTCTGTAATACACAGAAAGGTGTATTGCATCAGCAGAGGATTTCAAGAGCCTCTTGAAAGAAGGTTGCTTGACCCAGCCTCGCAACATGATGGCAGAGGATGCCTGCCATTTTGTCCAAATACAATCAGAAAGAAAGATACATTGGATATGACTTTTTTGTACTCTTAGTGAGCTCTCAATCCAGTAAGTAAAACTGCTAGCAGTGTTCTGGGAATTTAAACAGTTATTTTCTAAACTTTCCTGAATTTGAGATGACCCTGTGATTGGTTTTATCCAGAAGCAGATTTGCCCCACGCTAACAGATTTCCTCATGTCCAAAAGCACGGCAGCATTCAGCAGATGTATTCCTTCAAGGCTATTGTTCTTTTTATCTGTATTGCTTTTGTGACCTTGAAGTTTCAGGAAGGCAGAGAAGGCTGACCAATAGAGAGCCCTGTGAGGGAGGGGACATAAGGGAAAAGGGAACTGGTTTGGGCTTGTGTCCAATTATTACAATACATTTCTAGACTATTTTTTACTGAGGAAGTAAACATTGCTGTGTAAAGGTTAGATATAGACCCACCCATTCCTGGAAGTTATGTACAACTTGTTCTGAGTGGCATCAGTGATGGATCTGTTTTGTGTGTGTATACAATTCTGTGACTAATTACAGTATCATTTTGTGCCAAAGCTTATTTAAAAATGTCTTAGGTTGTTTCAAGAAATTCTTGTTAATTCTTGTTGTATACTGAGCATTTGGATCATGCCAATTGCTTTTAACAAACTGGTAAAGTGTAGATCTATTAGGCCACAACAATGGTTTAATCCCTGGGATTCTGAGTCTTAAAGGCTATCATTAACCAATATTCTCCAAAAGAAATTGTCAACTCCAGACTTTCAATATGCATTTTTCAAGTGCTTTTTTTTTTAATATAGATATTGATGAATGTGAATTTTTATGTTAGCTGGTTTGTGCCCTGAGTGGTGCAGTAGCAAAAGAAAAATCAAGAAAAATCTTCACTGTAATCCTTGGTAATCTATAAGGAAAATAATATAAATAAATAAATAATATAAAGTAGCAGAGATGAAAATATATTTTCACGAAGGCATTGTCAAGAGATACTTTAATATAGTTTCTGCAATGGTCTTGTCTGAGGAATTATAGTGGTTCCCCCTGGTATCAAAGCTCTGGCAACCCATTATGGCTAGAGCATTTGTTAAGCAGTCTCTACAGACATGACACTGTGGCAGCTGCAATGAAATGTGCTTTCTTTGTCACACAGACTAAACCAAGATGATAATAGGGATAAAGCTATTTTGTTTAGATCATTCTTCTCATGCTTTCCCCATAACTTTGAGTTTATATAAGGAAACACTTTCAATGTTTTGTATCTGACTATCTTGCCTTTCTGTTGAGAAAGACAAAATGATCTGTTGCAGTTGGTGTTGTGACTGAGTTGCCCAATTGTTTTTGTTGTGCTTGCAGAGAGCATTTAAGGTGTACAGATCTTATACTTGACTGAATGCAGTTTTCTTTCCTGAGTTTCTGCCTGTAAATCCCACTCAGTGAACTTCCTATTGAAACAGAATTAGCACAGCAGGTCAAGTTGTTGAGCACCTTTATCAAGCTGGAAAGTCAAATACAGGCCAATTCTTTCTCTGTACTCCCTGCTTTAAAAAACAACAGTTGCTTCCAGCTTGCAGCATACACTAGATTTTCAAGAGCTTTTTTTCAGCTAGTTTTGCAAAAACTTGGAATTGTGAAAGGAATTTGAATGGGATGTATCAAAAAAGGCATGAAACCTGGGAAAATATACTGAACAGTACATAGTGTATAGCACTGCTGTAAATGGAAAGATCTGGTTACATCTCCATTGATGTTTGACCACTTTTAAGAGAAAAAACTGAGTGATTATCAGGCATGGTCTCTTTGAAACTCCTAATAATAAACAATATATTTAGGAACCTGTTCTAACTAGGTGTTATTCTCATTTTGTGAGAATAACACAAACTGTATGTGGCAAATGTGGCAAACTGTAAGTCATTCTGAAAAGCTTACAGCAATTCTATAACCTATTCTGAATTATTTTTTCTCTAATTCATCTTTATTTTAAGGGAGACAAGCAATTCCTTAGACTGTTTATTAACTTGTAGAAGTCAAAAAAAAATGCTGCTAAATTTCAAAGAAAACTTCATTATGCTTTGCTAATATAAGCTACTTTATACTGTACACTTGATGTAATTATATGTGGAAAAGTAAACCGGATGTTGGATTTTAAAAAATAGAATTCAAATTCCATTTACCTCTTTTTCTTTTCTCTCAGGTGGAAAGACATGACATGAATACCCTGAGTCTACCACTTAACATCCGTCGTGGAGGTTCTGATACCAACCTGAACTTTGATGTACCAGATGGGGTCCTAGAATTTCACAAAGTCAAACTCAATGCAGATAGCTTGAAACAGAAAATCCTCAAGGTTACAGAGCAAATCAAGGTTGAACAAACAGCTCGAGATGGAAACGTGGCTGAGTATTTGAAACTGGTGAACAGCGCAGACAAGCAGCAGGCTGGGCGCATTAAGCAAGTCTTTGAGAAAAAGAACCAGAAATCTGCCCACTCCATTGCCCAGCTGCAGAAGAAATTGGAACAATATCACAAAAAGCTCAAGGATATTGAACAAAATGGATCTTCCAAAGCTACCAAGGATACTTCCAAAGATAACTTGAAAGACGTTCAACATGGAAAGTCTCGTAGCACTGGGCACGGAGCAGAGAGCAGCAAGTCGGGTGTGCCGGGTGTATCTCTGACACCCCCTGTCTTTGTTTTCAGCAAGTCCAGAGAGTTTGCCAACCTGATCCGAAACAAATTTGGTAGTGCAGACAACATTGCTCATCTCAAAAATACCCTGGATGAATTTCGGCCAGAAACGAGTTCCAGAACCTATGGGGGCAGCGCCACCATTGTTGCCAAACCAAAATATGTTAGTGATGATGAATGCTCAAGTGGGACCTCTGGATCAGCAGACAGCAATGGGAATACTTCCTTTAGTCCTGCTGTGGCAAGCACCCTGGACAGCCAAGGAAAGCTTTCCATGATTTTGGAGGAACTAAGGGAAATCAAGGAGACACAGTCCCAATTAGCTGATGATATTGAGAATTTAAAAACCCAATTTAAAAGAGACTATGGCTTTATTTCTCAGATGCTACAAGAGGAAAGATTTAGGTATTTTTTTTAACTGTTCTCTTGAAATGACTTTTGAATGGGTATAGAAACTATTTGGAAAGTGTGTGTGTGTGAGAGAGATTTCAGAAGCAAGAGGAAAAAATAATTCCAATCAATATCTAGTACCAACATGTTTAATTCCTTCCAACAACTGAAAACACACATAGAATATTTCTATTTTCTATTAAATATTAAATGGTGTAGTGCCCTTTGCTTTTTGTCAAAGGCTGGTCAGAAAACTCTCTCCTCTGTCATGGCTTTTATGTGAATTATGTGAGTACTGCATATAGGAGATTCCAATGGTTTTGTAGCTGGTGGAAGGATTCTCATCTAATGTGACTCAGAAAAGCTAATCAGTCTGTGGTGTAGCAGAACTGACTGATAAGTATACCCTTGACTCCTGAGTACCTTGTCCAAATACTTCTCACACACATTGCTATCTCCTGGATGCAATGTCACCTTGTACCCTGGTGTAACACACACTGGGAGATGTAGTTTGAAGGGCTGTAGCACAACTTCATCTTGCATTTGTTACATGACAATTAATTCCTTTATCATTCTCTGTGAGAAGTGGATGATATGTTCTACAGAGGGCTTTCACCTGTTGTATCTATATCCCATTTTTCCTATGGCTTATTAAGGTGACAGTCAATTCTTAAAGTATTTACTATGCCAGTGGGCAAAATCTTGGTATGAAGGGCAATATTTCATGTCTCCCTTGCTTATAGTTCTTGAAATACAATGAAAGGCTTGATATCATATGGTAATATAGGGGGGAAAGAACAATGAAAGGCCTGCTGAACTTCTGACTTGGTTTCAGGAGAAGGCAGAGTGGCCTTTTCTGACAGCTCTCGGCCAGTAAAATCTCAAGCTTCCTGCTACCCATTTCTAGACAATTTTCCCTCCATCATTTTTATGCTGGCTGCTATGTTTGCCTGTTTTTGTGTTAAATCGAGTGACAAATTCACAAAAAAAATTTCTAGTTTGCTGGTGGTTTACTTGAACTGCTTTACCATGTAGAAACATGCCAGAACAGACTGTACATAAATGGCAGAACCCTGCAGTTGCGTATGAGAGAGAACATATTTTTCCTGTCATTACTGGTGAGCTATTAACTGGCTCAAACTAACTTATGAAGCCATATCTTCTTGGCTAAATGAAGAATGAAAAATGTGAGTTGGATATCCCTAGGCACTGTTTATATTTCATAAAATTTGCCAATGATGTACAAATATTTGCTTTTTAGCACCTACTGCCAGCAAGAAACACTCAGAAAAGGCTTTCTGATTGCTGAAAAAATGTTTATGGAAAGTTTGCAAAGTTTTTACTGATTTCTATATGTGCTTTGTAATGCCAGTCAGATGAATTCACCATATGCTGAGAAATTGCCTTTTAAAATGTGCAATTGTTTTCATGATTTGCATTACTTGAATAGAAGGCACTAAATTTAGACTTCTTTTCCTAATAAGATATGAAAGATTGGAAGACCAGTTAAATGACCTCACTGACCTTCATCAACATGAGACAGCAAACTTGAAACAAGAGCTAGCCAGCATAGAGGAGAAGGTGGCATATCAGGCCTATGAGCGATCACGAGATGTTCAGGTACTTATTTTCCTTATCCTAATCTTCTAACATTTCGTGGAGATCTTGTTCCATGAAACACTTGCATTTTTCTGCATATTTTAAAATAAGGAATATTGGAAAATATGTAGGTTTGAACATGTTTGTAAGCTTAAGAACATGTTTTCTCTGTTTTAAGGGGAAAACCCAGCACATTGAATCAGTGACAGTCTCCATTTGTTTCCTGGATTCAGGATTTTTTTTTCTGCTGAAACTGATGATATGGCCCAGGCAGACTTGTGGTGGAAGAGTGGCCTGTTTTAATCTCTTTCAGAGAGGAGGAAGGAATCAAGTCTCCTTGTATTGTATGACATAACACTTCTTACCATGTCCTGACATAAACTTGCTCAGACTTTGAGCTTAGGGTAAAAAGTAAGAGAAATAGACTTGTAGATTTGCCAGTTATAATTAAAGAGTTTTAAGCCATAGTCACAACAACCTCTATAATCAAAGCTGTGGGGTGTTTTCACCTTAGTGATCAGTTGTAGTCATGTCTGACTTCAATTAAAAACCAGAATTAATGTCTACAAGTATGTCCTGACAGCATGTAGTTACATGTATATTTTATACAGCACAAGCACTTACATAGTGCATAATATTTCCACTCAAAGTCTGAGGAAGTGTAAAAAGTGGTGAAAACACAGTTGTGCCTTACCTATTCATGAGCAACTGAGGAATGCTCAAAGACTGTCTACATATTGGCCCACATGCTAAAAGAACCTAAAACCTGACCCGTATACACCTGTGCTCATATTTCCAAACAGAGAGAGTGCAGGCAGTAGAATGATCACAGTTTCCTAAATGTGAATTAGGAAGCTCCTGGGAACAGAGTGGGAAAGGGATGGTACTGAATCTAAGCATATCATAGGTTTCATTGTAGGTTTAAACAAGAGAGGTGTCTCACAGATTTAAAGAAAAGAGGACTCCTTTCTGTGAAAGCATCTTGAGGATGTAAAAATGTAATGAAACCTGAGTTGTCCAACAGAGGGGCTGTGAAATATTCCCTAACTCATTAGCAGAATCCTGGAGGGGTGTCAGAGACTTTTAAAAGACTCCTGGAAGGGTGTCAGAGACTCCTTAATGAAGTGCTATGTTGACACAGCCTTGTTTCTTTAATCTCTGTACAGTTGGGCCCATTTAAATCTATCTCTCTGGGGCTTTGGAAAATTAGCTAAAATAGAGTAAAAGGATTTAAGCTCTGGATATTTTAAGTAACAGCCTAACTGTCACTAAAGGATGTGCAGATAGTTTTAAAGACATGTTCAGCCTCTCAATGCAGAGCTGCAGGTATCAGACTTTTGCAGCTGGAATTCCTCTAAAGCAGCACAAGACAATTTGAGGATAACTTACAGTCAGAGTGGAAGAAAGAGCAGGGAAGTTCATTAGTGTGTAGTGGAGAACATGCCTCAGCCGTAACAGCCTTTGTGCCACCCATTAAGAACTGTAGTAACAATCTTCTATATTGTTACTACTTCCTAGAGCAGTGAAAGGAAGCAGCCTTGTGTAAGGCACTGTGCCACACTCTCTCTGGTGACCTTGGTGCCTGGCCAGTCACTTGGTGAGCCAGTTCAACTTGCTGAAACAATGAAGAACTGACCCAGCAAGGGATAGCTGATAACTCTGGGTGTTTATACACTGAGGTTTGGTTTGAAACAGCTTACTGTGTGACCAGGTGAACAACCTTGCTAGTGCAAGGAGCATACCTGGAGTTTGAGAGTGTGCAAGAAAGTAGGGATGCTGGAGCGTTGGTTTTCTTTGTCACATAGTGGTAAAAGATTCTGTCAAGTTGATCAATCTCATGAAAATTACAGCTCTGCACCACATTATGCCATGATGCCCAAATCCCAACTCCTGCAAAAAGCTGGCATTTTGGCAAATAAGTGAAGCAGTTGGAAGCCTTTCTGTTTTGCTTTGGGAGGGTTTAAGCATGGGGGTAGTGTCTTTAGGAAGTATTTTAGTCAAAGACCACTTTTAGTCCATCCTCAAGCAGAAGAGAAAGGTCTGCTTTCTTTAGAACAAATTGTGAAGCGGAATAGATCATGTGGGAGAGAATCCCATAAAAGCATCTCCACAGGTTGTTCCACTGTCTTCACACTGACAGAGGGAGGCCAGATCTTACAAAGAGCTCAAGCCCAACACTATAGGATGGGCAGCTTTGAGAACAAAATCAGTGTAGACCACAGAGGCAGTGTAAACTGAGTGCTGCTACATGTTGCAAAGTAGAGTTAATTAGTATCACAGCAAGCCCTCCCTATATGTTTTCTATAGAATATACAAAGAAACTAATTTTCTTGCTGTTTTGATGCAGTGATAGTTTCTATGGCAACAGCTTTACTAATACTTTATATCAACAGTATATATAGGAAACAACTGTCATGAACATTAAAGTTATGATACTTTTACTTGAGCATGAAAAAAGAACAAACCTATGTTTTGGACAGGTTGTTAGCCTTGATTATGCCTGGGCAAACAGTGACACACTCATTCAGACATATATGTGCATTTATTTTTTTAAAAGTTGGTGGTTCATTAAAATTTTACCAGTCAATAATAAATTACACTTCTAATCTAGCTGATGGATGGCTTTACAGCTAAAATGTGAAGAAAGGTTGAAGGGAAATATGGCTGCCCTAATTCTTGTTTTCTGTCTCCAGGAAGCCTTGGAATCATGCCAGACCCGGGTTTCCAAACTGGAGCTCCATCAGCAAGAACAGCAAGCACAGCAGTCTGAAACAGTTAATGCCAAAGTGCTCCTGGGGAAGTGTATAAATGTTATCCTGGCCTTCATGACTGTCATCTTAGTCTGTGTTTCTACTATTGCAAAGTTCATTGCTCCTATGATGAAGAGCCGCTTTCATATCATCTGCACTTTTTTTGCAGTGACGCTGCTGGCAATATTTTGTAAAAACTGGGATCATATCATTTGTGCTATAGAAAGAATGATTATACCAAGATGAAGCTATTGGACTGGTTGGTCTTTTCTTTTTTCTTTTTTTTCCTTTCTTTTTCCCTTTTTTCTTCCCCTCCCTGTTTTTAAGCACTGTGTGTATACAAATTCTGGTGTAAATATATAAAAGTATACTTGTTGGCAGTCAGTTGCCTGTTCAATCTGATTTTGTCTAACTGGCTGTATCTGTGATGAACTGCTCACTTAAGTCAGTCTTCTGCCTTAATCCAAAAGGTTTTCCACTTTCCAAACCCATACCCACAAAAGATGGTATGATGGTGTGGGAGGGATCCCAGCAACTGCAAGTGTCAGGTGTGCTTTTTACTAGGCTGGAGCACAAAGAGTGTGATCAAGAGGGAGTGCCATAATGTGTATCAGCTCTGCTAGACTGATAGTTAATTTTCTCTCTGAATCCAACTAGAATGATAAACCAAACTATGCAGTCATGTGTATTGATAGTTCTAGATTCTAAATTAATGGTGAACATTACATGGGATTTTGAGTTTTCAAGACTAACAAAACTTGATGCTTCTGCTAGTAACTTATTGCACAGAGTTTATTGTTTGTAAATGAGACCAGTGATGACTATTGACCACAGCAGTTGTTCTGTCCTGGCACTGTTCCTTACCGCATTTGGGAAACACATACATGTGGCATAAGACTTCCAAAGATCCCCAGGCAACTTTGCAAAGGAGTTAAGAAGCAGTAACTGGTAGATAAGTTGGCATCTACACCAAAGCACTCACTTGTTCAAGCCCTGCAACCTGCAAGAGGAAAGAAGTACAGGGAACAGCAACATTGAGGTTAGCCTTTGTTAGCACTGAATTGTTGGGGTGTTCTGACTGAAACAAAGCATACAGGTGGTGGGACCCTGGGTACAGTGGATTTCTTTTTTCTGTCTGATTAAAGAATGTGGCAGAAACATGAGGGAACAGCTTCTTAGGGGGAGCAGGGAGTTAAACTTCTGTAAATATAGGAACTCTAGTCACTCTCAACAAACATTCCTGAAAATAATGTATTAACGTGCAGTATCACTACTAGGAGATGGGGTTGGGTTTGTTTTCCCACTGGAATTTATTTTGCTTGATTTAATAAGTGCAAAAAAATTTCCCTGAAATCAGCTTGGCTTTCAGCCATGATGTAAAACAAGATCTTTATTAAAAATAAGCAAGCAAACAAAAAAACCCACAAAACCACCACAACCAGAATTCTTCACTCTCCATTAAGTGAAAAAACAGTGTCTCCAATTATTTGATGTTCAGTGTTAGTAACTGTGAAAATAATTGTCATTACATATTTTCTTTTCAGTTGCAGTATCTTTTATGCTGGGATTATGGGAGGGAGGGAGGGCACAGTTTGATGTGTATATTTCTTTTTAATCAAGTGCAATAGTTGGTGTAGAATTTGTGAAGACTATATTCTGAGAAAAGGGAGTGGGTGAGGGGAAGGCAGGGAAGAACTCTGACTTTTTACCACAGTCAGATAAACAGTGAATGGCTTCAGGAACTAAGGAAAGGACAGAATTAACTTAATAAATAATGATATAACTCAATGTTTAGAAAATTCAATTAAAATACTTAGAAATATTTAAAGAATTCTTTATATGTCCTAAGTCTTTGCACAGAGAATCAGGAAGGACTGTGCTGGTTTGCAGTCACTGGAAATGGATCAGATCAGGCACACCCATGTTATCTTAACCCAACCCTACCTCATCTCAAGTGGGAAGTGGAGTGGAAACCAAAACCAAACAAGAGCCCAAACAAGACCAAAAACTGGTTCTGATCCTAAGAATGCTGTGACTCTTCATGGTGTTTTCTTGCCATCTTTATTATAATCTCCATTCTTCTCTTCAGCTTGCACAGCCAACTTCTGCATTGGCCTCTTGAAAAAATAGTTAGTCTAGCATTTTGTTAAATGGGTTCAGAAAGGTAGACGTTCAAGAAAGGAATACCATGTGTTAATAATGTTTGCATAAGAAAAACTCCTTGGCCTATTGCATGATTATACATTTATATAAATCTCCCATTGCTATTTTATGTAGTTGAAATGTTACATCAGGCAGCCTCAAGGACAGGCAGGAAAAAGGTTAGTATTTTTCTTGTAACAAAGGATGTTGGTGTGGTAATTCACATTCCCTTCACACCTGGGAATCTGAAGGCTTCTGCTCCAAGGGCATCCTTTTACAACTCTGGGAGATAACCTCAGTACAAAATGAAAGTAAAATCTAAAATTTGTGTTTCTACAAAAGATTGCTCACTGTCTTGACAGAATCTGACAGGGCTTACATTCTAAATTTGAAACAGGAAGATCTTGCACTTCAATCTTGGCTTTACATGTGGCAGAAGACAGAAAAAGCTATAAAGGTTGCATAATGTTAGTTATATAAATTAAAACAACCTAATTAGTGAATGGGTGCATCTCTTTTCTACGTTTTTTTCCTCTGTTGGGTTTAAATCACTGAAGGATGTGACACACATCAAGAAATAATAAAAAATGTAAAGTGAAGAGCAAAAGCCTACTTTTGAGTGAAGCTGTTGTAGTTTTGCACAGAGTGAGACTGTAGTGCCAGGAACTCTGCCACATGGAAGGTCACCCAAGGAGGGAGGTCTCCCATCCTGCTTTCACCATCACATTTCCTACTGTGTGCTAACTACTGGTATGTGGTAACATCTTCCATATGCCATGTTAGCTCACTAGACTGGAAGAAAAACCTGGTGAAAAAGATGGATGGTTCTCCACATCTGGAGACTTGAAGGGCTGGTAAAAAGGTCTCATGAGCATGAAGCTGGGATTTTAAGGGAGATGAGACTTTTTCTTGTTGCAGTGAATCATCAGCTGTCCCTAAAACTGGGCTCCAGGCAGACTCTCTGCAGATTGTTGAGGCAGCTTCAGTGTAGAAAAGTTCTTCCTAACTTTTTCCTAGAGGGAACAAACAGCCCCAGCATGTGGTGGGGCAAGCTAGCCATCTGTGCCCATACTCAGGATCAAGAGAAGGCTGGTGCCTGAGCTAGCCTGGGCTGATGCCTCTGCCCTTAGCTTCAGTATGGGCACCACTTCCCCCCTTTAGGCTGGGATTGTGTATTTTACATATTAGTGTGTGTATCTGGCCTGCAGTCTGAGCTCTGCTTCCTGTGAAAGCATGCCTAGGCCAACCCAAAGAACTGCAGTACTCCTAATGAGAACTCTGTTCAGCTTCTCAGTCAATTAACCATGTTCTGTCAGGATCCCATTTGCTTTTATATTCTCATACAGCACATCAGGCATTCTTAGGATACTCCTTACACCTACTCATCATAAGCCTCTAAAACACTCCCACTCAACAAAAAATTGCCAGACAGTGTCTTTTCTGCTTGGTGCTGCTTGGCAGGCAAGTATTTCCCTTCATTTTGGTAGTAGTTCTCTGATGGAAAAGCTCTTCAGTAAGTTGTTAGTACCTGTTCTATAGGCTTTTGGCAGGTTTTGTTTGGAGGTTTCTGGAGATTTAGTTTCTTATGAAAATTAGCACAATTTTCCTGATTTCTTCTATTTCAGCATTGAGGACTACATGAGGTTTCCCCAGAAATTGTTTAATGGATCCCTCTGCTAGCTTCAATTCCATTATTGTTGAAAGTCCAATTAGTGATTAGCAGGAGTGATCAAGACCCAGTTTAAATTCCTTCTTCTTTCTGCTTTACATTATATGCATTCATGCAACTTCTCATTTGATTGCACTCCTGTGGTGTCTATTTGCTCTGAATTCTTAGAGAGGCACTAAAAAATTTCAGTGCATTTTATTTTAATTTCAAAATGTTTGTGTTAAGCAGTGCCTCTGCTGCAGGACATCTATCAATATAGATCTGATGTCTGCACTCCAGAAAGGGTATTTAAAAGCCAATGGTTTTCTGTGAACACATAAGGACTACTTATCTGGGGAATAGCAATGCAAAAGGTGACGACAATTTGCTGTAGGAAAGATACATGATCCACTCACCCAGGAGTTGAAGCTAGACAAATCCAGTGTAAGCGTAAGGTTCAGTTTTGCAATCATAAGGGTTACCAGCTAATTATTAGCTACTGAATGACATAATAAACAAGGACTCCAGCATTTGAAGTTGAATTAGTTCAGGCTTATGATTGATACAAAGTTAACTGCATAATAACAACTAGTGCTTTCTGAAATCAAAATCATTGAACAAGAAATTCAGGAACAAAACAAGAAAACACAGAAGCTTGTAGTTCACAAGAGCCAATTTTCTTGTTTGGTTGTTTTTGTTTTGGGAAACCAAGTCCCTTTCCACTATGATATGACTAAGACATTTTACTGCTGGATTCAATGATACAACATAAGATAAACAGAGATTAATGTAATTAAACACTCTAATTTCAATAGCAGAATTTAATCTCTTCTAAAAGTCCATCTAGGACTAGCAATCAGGCAAATTTATTCTCCGCTATTTTTAATCAACCAAATATATATCTGCTTTCTTCCTTCCCCATGATGCCAGAACATGGCCTTTAAGTACAGGAGATTATAAAGGGCTTGTTTTCAGATAAAGTTGGAATGGTCTCTCTGATGCTAGCCCTGCACAAAGTGTCAGACAATTTTACATTGCAACAGTGAAAGACTAAGTAAAGTTTTATTTTAGTCAATGAAATCACTTCTTTTCCCTGAAAAAGCCAACTGAGAGGATGCTGTATATAGGGACTGCATGAGGCCAAATCAAACTGTCTTGTACGGTTGATTTGCTCTACGTTTAGCATATTAAGTTGTACTGTTGTTGGAAAGTTTTGCACAAAGCCACCTTTCCTTTTTACCCAGGGAACCTGGGTCTGGTAGTATCAAGGTGTACCAAAAATTGTCTGCTTTTCTTGACTAAAGTTAATTGTCTTGGTGTGTGACCTGCAATGTTTCTCATAGTATTTCCATTTTGTGCAGCACTGTGGAAAGATTCAACTATGAAAATGTATTTTTTGTATATTTGGTTGTGTAGTCATGACTGCCTCTAAGGTGCCATTAACATTTTTTAAAATAAAAATATTTACATTTATTTGATGATGAATATTGTCTCTTAAACTTTCTGTCTGATCACTCAAACCCCTATCAATTTTCCTTTCTCAGTACAAATTATTCAATTGACAGTGATAAAGTTAATCCATTGAGCACAAGAC